AGCTTGAGGTACAGAGAAATAATTTGGACACTCTCTGGAATGTTTGTTTCCCCTGCACTAGATTTGACTGACAGTAATAAAGCTTACAACTACTTCAAGTCAAGTTGCTTGGTGATCCTTGTAGTTTGCTTAGTTTACACTATGTGATCTGACTTTCTTGTGTTACTCATCTTCACCTTTTAACTCTGTAAGCTGCTCCTGCAGTGTTCCTTCAGATAAGGCATCTCCTCTCCACACTTGGCTTTAATGTTTATTCTGAAGCTAAGTACATACAAGTGCCTCACCCCAGTCTGTCTAGAAGACAAAATATACATGGAATCAAGTTTCCATGTTTGCAAAGAATAATTGGATGCAGAACTTTGGCATTGTATGTCTTACCTCTTGATGATCCAGTAGCTAGTTTTGCATCTTTTTCACTCCAAGTTAGAACTTGGAAAAATGTCCTTTTCTAGACTATAAGTCCCAGATTCCTCTGGTCAGCCTGACCAGTTGCCCTGTTGCTTGGGGATTCTGAGAATTGTTGAACAAAGTAATATTACCAAACTACTCCAGTTAGAATATTGGTCGTGGCATTGAATAACCATTTGGGATCCTGGGTTTTGCTTCCCCTTCTCCCCTAAACATCAGGTGCTATATCTGATTAACTCATTAGGGTGTGAGTAGGATATGCAAATGTATCTGATTGAGGCAACAATCTCTTACACCAACCTACCTGTCATGATTGTGAGATAAAATAAGATCTCACTTTGCATCTACCACTTTTAAATTCCTTTGTGGAAAGACATGGTACAAGCGTAACTAAGATATACATGGGCATAGGTATGATGATGAGGGCATATAAACCGGCAAACCACCTCTGAGAATTCCTTGCCTAAAAAAAATCAGTTGGCCATTGAGGTTCTGTGTGTCAAGTTTGGTCCTGGTGGTGGTAGTCACTGTCTCCGAATGTAGGTGAACTACTCCCAGAAATTAAGGTCAGTTCCTCTCAAATCCCTCCAGTAAAAAAAAAAAATGGTTTAGCAGATATGCGTGCCAAGTTTGGTCCAGATCTATTGGCTTTTGGTTCACGGTGCTCTCTGGATGTAGGTGAACTACAACTCCTATAAATCCACCCAAAGATTGGCAGTATTTTTTGTTGGTCATGAGGATTCTGTATGCCAAGTTAGTTGCAGGTCCATCGTTGGTGGGGTTCAGAGTGCTCTTTGATTGCAGGTGAACTATAAATCCCTACAACTCCTGTAAATCAAGATGAATTCCTCCCAAACCTCTCCAATATTTTGGCTTGGTCAAGGGAGTTCTGTGTTCCAAATGTGGTCCATGCCCATTGTGGGTGGGGATCACAGTACTCTGTCTTGCTGCAGGGTGAACTACAACTTTCATCACATTGAGTCAGTCCCCCAAACCCCTCCAGTATGAGCAGTTGCTGATAAATTCCTCTGTGTTTGCTCTGTGCCATAGGAAAGAGCAGGAAAGGGTTATTGGAGAGGCAGTGGGCGGAGTCATGCAAATTCCACACCAATGGAGAGAGAAAGGATATCTGTGGTGGAGGAAAATAATAAAATCTATAATGAAATGGTCCCCATATGAAAGCCTTCACTTAGGTGAGGGGCAATATGGTGTTTGAGGAGGACATTGGCAGGACTCCTGTCATGTTCATGGCACTCACTATAGCCTTAAATGTCATTGGAAGGAGGGCCATTGGTGTCTCCTGAGTGATGGGAGCTATAGCTGTTTGTGGAGGCAGAAGCTTGTCTATAAGTGGACACCCCAGCCACGTACACACATATGTTCTTATTATGTGTATAGATAGGAAGTAAATTGCTGGGTGTGTATGGAGTACTTGTCCAGTGCCCTAGATACTGGAATTCTGCAATGATACTTGCAATTGCAGCCCTTTAACTTTTCTTTCATATGCAGAATATAGACAGATGAATTCTGTTCCTCCTGTCCTGCAATGTATAGATCTTCCATTCTGCGTTTCAGTCATGCTATTGGGTGTTTTTCTGAGAAGCACACTATTACTTTGGGGAGCATGGTGGTGTCTTTGAGGTTTTGAAGCAGAGCCTGAATGGCCATCTGTCGAGAGTGCTTTGATTGTACTTTCCTGCATAGCAGGGGGTTGGGCTGGGTGGCCCTTGTGGTCTCTTCCAACTTAGTGATTCTAGTAGGGCTTTGTACATGAGTCTGCAATGGCCAGAAGTATTGTGTGTTGTGCCGTACTAACTCTTCTCATGATACATTTCCCTCAGGGGCAAATGTGGAGCAGTCACTCTTAAATAGGGTAGCTCCTTCTACCAGCTGGTCTGAAAGTTGATTCCAGTTGCTGTTAAATGAGCAGTTTAGAGCTATCACTGCTTAATTCTTATGCAGCGGAATTAAATAACTTTATTTGTATTCCGTCCTATCTCCCCGAGGAGACTCAATTGACAGCATATTTTCTTTCTAGTTTCATTTGAAAAGTCTTTTTTGCATAATCGGTGTTGTTCCATACCTCTGACACTTTACATATGAAAACTGGGAGACATGTAGTCAAGCAACGCCAAAGTGTGTTGAAGATGGCAAAGTTATTAATGAGGAAGAACACATCAGCTAGGAGATGCTGCAGCAGTTTCCTTTTGTTTGAACCTACTGGCAAGATTCTGGTCTCTCCTCTTCCTTTGCTGACCAATGAAAGTAACTGTTTTTTGCACTTTGAACTCAGTTTGCAGCAACTGAAGTAAACTGAGGACTGTACTGAGTAAGCTCAGGGCTCTTGTCTCCTATTGCATTTCTTACAACAACCTTTCACATAGTTCAGATCAGGAAATAGTGACTGTCCCAAATTCATGCCGTAAGTTTCATAGCTCAATGATGACGTGAACCTAGATCTAGTGAGTCCTAGTCCAGTAATACAGGTTGAGTTTTTCTTATCTGTAATGCTCGGGACCAGACATGTTTTGGATTTTGGAATGCCTTTATGTGCATATACATCTATAATGAGATATGTTGGAGATGGGACCCAAGTCTAAACATAAAATTAATTGATATTTCATATATACCTTACTAGTGTATGTACCCAACATTGCCTGGATATGCATTTTCTAATGGTTTTAATAAAAGTTTCAGTACTTAGCTTCTTAGCACAGATTAGCTCAGGTTAATCCTTTTCTCCATAGATAAAATACATTGCCCTGAATATAGGTTTCTTTTAAGAGCTGAATGATTACCCAAGTTTTGTCATCTTAGGGACTTCTTTCTTCCTTTTCCTGCTCGCTTCCATCTTTGCCTATCCCTCTAAGGCCTCCCTTAGAATGTCTCCATGGCAATGCTCTGGCCCTCTGTGAGGGACTCTTGGAGTGTCTCCCTGATGGCACTTTAGCCCTCTTCCATTCGTCATCTCTCCCTCTGAGTTAATTTTTCAATCAATAATACTACTCTCTTGTTATTGCGTCTGAGCACCACATACATCCATAGCCATTTATTCATTCTTAGGGCCTTTGCCTCTGGATTTTAAATTGAAATCCCACCAATATTTTAGGCTGGAACATGAAAGCTGTGTGTATCAAGTTTGGCACAGATCCATCAAGCCATGTAGGAACCTTTGTGGAACATACATACATAAAGTCACATAGCATAAAGGGAATTTTATACCCAAAATTCAAAATAATTTTATGCCTGAAACAAAGTTTGTGTATAGTGAACTAGCAAGGTGCCACTATCTCAGCCACCCATGTGGAATTGTTTTCGATTTTTAAAGTATTTTTTAGTATTGGAATTCCAAACAAGGACTGCCCAACCTGTAAAACCACTGCAACACACTGACTGTCTTGAAAAAGCTAACCTTATTTTGAGCAGAAGCTTCGTGCCTTCAACAACTGCCTGGGAAGGTCAAATTCAGTTACTGAAGCAGCTTTTTACTGTCACTGTCTCCTTGTATGGTGAATCCTTGTGTTTGTTTTTCTGGGACAATGTGGCCATGGCACAACATATTTCTATATTTGTAGCATTACATAATAAGGATACAAATTATTAAATTATGTTGTTGTTTGATACAGCAAATCAAAAGTTTCTAGAACAGTACCCCAGGTTTTCTTCTAAGACTAATTGGCTGCTAACATGTAGTAAATGCATAGGTTGCTTCATTTCTGATATTTTGTATGTATAAACTCCTGTTCTTGTTACAAGACTGTAACTAGATTGAAGGATTATAGAAGAGAGAGAAAAGAAACTAAACACCTTGAATACTATTGCAAATACATAAAATGGATATTTAGAATTAGACGTATGAATGGATCAATTTGAGGGGGAAGGTGTTATTTGTGGTTTGAGAGTGAGGGACCTGATCCCAAAGCTTAAGAATGAAACACTCTTCCTGTTCAGGTTAGTATATGTACTGCCTGTGACTATTTATTCTGCAGGTTTCTTTTATAGTGGGCTTCCCTGCTGGCAGTGCTTTGTGATCTGGATCAAATAAGTTGGTATGAGTAGTTAGCTGGGGATGGATGGTTTTGATGGATGTTCATACTCCTTTCCCATTTGAGATCTTACGATTTTAACTATAAACTGATGTTAAGCAAATTGTGGTTTATGGCTTGTGTTATATTGCATTCATTATATCTCATTTTTCTTACGAACTGAAAATGTTCGGTTCATAAGAAAATGTTTAACAGTGCAAAATGTTAAAACATACAGGGACCATATTTTTGTTTTCTTAATTGAATTATTTTTGAAATATGATGGATATATAACTCATCCTTGTAGAAGAGTCCAGTGAGATTCCCTTACCCTCTTTTTTATCATTGAGGAAGGCGAGCTGAATTCATAATGCAGTGTTTTGCACAAAGTGAGATTTTCGTTTGCCTCCCATGTGCAGAGAGTGGAAAAAAATGCTTTCTTGCCTTGAGAGAGAGGAGCAAAGAAACCACAGTCAGTCTATAGCCTGGTTGTGTTAGGAATTGGCGTCTGAATACTTTGCACTGCACTGCATTTATTTTATTCTTTCCCTCTTTATTTTTTTGTAGTGGTATTCAAGAATTCCTGTCAAGTTCAAGGAACCAGGGGAGGTAAGTGGTATATAAACCCACTCATATTCATATAGATCCTCATTATTTTTGGTGTGAGCTTATTCTTCTGTCATTTATTCTTTTCTTTCCCCTATCATTGATCTTAGTGTATGCTTTATACACTCCTCAGTGTATCCTCAGTGAAATTAATATTTTCCCTAAGACCCTGTGGCCAAGGATGATGTAGTCTGCTTTTGTTGTGGTTTGCATTTTCTGTCAGAACACAAATCTGACAAAATGTTTTGATGGAATACGAAGGAGGCAGAAGCTTAATGTGAGCCAGCAATTTCTAAAGACTGATCAAGAACTTTTGAAAACAAAGTGTGCCATAAAATTAGTCTGATGACCAATATAATTCTCAAAGATTAGCTGTATGTCAGCAAAGCTGTGGCTAGTTACAACAAGCATCTCATATGTAGTTCCGTTCTGTTTGTTAGGATTGTCTTTCCTTTCTTATTGCTTTCTTAGCCCATTGAAATGAAATTTCAAAATCCCCTTGCTTTTTCTCTTCTTGCCACCACCCAGTTTTGCATTTCTTTCCCTTCAACCAATTTCCATGTTCATCAATCCTTCTGCAAAGCTTTTGAATCTTGCCCACTCTCAGACCTGTTTCCTTTTCTTGTCTATTAGATACATGATAGCCATGGATAAATAGGTGAGGAGAAGTCTGGGGGAGGAGGGAGCAGGCTTGTTTTCTGCTACCTTGGAGACTAGGACACGGAACTACAGGAAAGGAGATTCCACCTGAACTTGAGGAAGAACTTCCTAACTGAGAGACCTGTCTAGCAATGGAACTCTCTGCCCCAGAGTGTGGTGAAGGCTCCTTATTTGGAAGCTTTTAAACAGGCTGGATGGCCATCTGTCGGGGGTGCTTTAAATGCAATTTTCCTGCTTCTTAGCAGGGGGTTGGACTGAATGGCCTACGAGGTCTCTTCCAACTCTATGATTCTATGATTCTTCTGCATCCATCTTCTCACTAAGAGACAAATACACCTTCGTCTATGCCCAGTTCCTTCTTAGCCTAAAGAAATCCCCCTCCCTTGGATTTACTATATTTTTCCACCATAAAGTAGCATTACTGTCATTACTTCCTTGCCGACATTTTTACACACTTTCTCTTCCTGCATGGTTAGAATGGGTGAATAGAGAGTACCAACTTACTAGGTGGTAAATGGAGGGAGGTAGACGTTAGCCTGCTTTTTAACAGTGTGGTAAAATTCAGTACAAACAATTGTGGCTGGCTTTGTAGCATTCTGTGGTTGCTCTTACTCCACCTCTTGTTACTGACAATTCTGTTGCAATGAAGAGAAGATCTATCTCCGTGATTTGAGCTGTCTTTTGCCATTACTTCCTGGTTCTTTGTTTAGGGAAGCAGGTTGTCTCATAGTTAAAAGATTTAATGGTATTACTTTTTTTTTAAAAAAAAAGATAATAATTTCTTTAAAATATAAAAGATTTTCATAGGAATGAAAAAAAAATCCTTACATCTCAACTGCCACTGCCTTGAAAAGAACCTGCCATTCGTTTCGGTGTCTTGTCCCCAGTTACAATTTAGCTGAGGCACCCACTGGGGCCAATGAAAGCTTTGCTCTTGGAACTAATAGTAATTTCAGAACATGATTTTCATCAGGATTGCTGTGTGGGCTAATGGGTTTCAATTCTCTTTCCACATGCTGTGAATCTGATCTTAATCCCTCTTCTAATAGCTGCTATATACAATTTTAAGAAGATATACATAATACCAAGCTGTCTGATTACTATTATATGTATTTGTCTCTTAAACTTAACATCTTAAAGCCATGCAGGAAAAATAGGGAAGATTACATTCTTCCTCGATTATTATTAGTTGAAAAAAAATCTGTAAGTGATTTTAGTTGCAGCATGTATTGCTTAACCATCTTGCCTCATTGATAGACATGTGCAGCTTTCAGGCAGTGTTATCTTTCATTTGTAATAACCCTTCCTTCTCTTTTCATCACTCTTTTCACCTTTTTTCCTTCCACAAAAAATAAGGGGGATTAGAAAGAATATCTGCACTTTACCTTTTTATTATAATATAGATCAAGCCATCAATCAAAAAATAATCTATGGCCCGGGGATCCTTTCTCTACTCCGTGTCATCTGCCATGGGATTGCTAATGCTGACTATCAATTTATTTATGCATCTGTATTAAGGCTGGTGTTTTTAAACGTTTACAAAGAAGATAGGCAATGATCAGCCAGGATATCAAATTTGCTGACTGAATTCTAAGACATAGACGTGTTAGTCTGTTATGTGCAAAGAGATTTGTATCACTTTAGAGATCAAGAGAATGAAGTCAGTATTATAATTTTTTGTAGACTAAGTTTAATTCTCCAGATTTACAGATGCTAGTGAAGAATGGTTATAGCAAAAAGAGATGCTAGGGAACTCCAAAAAGAGGGGGGAACAGTCAATTGAAATTATAATAGCAAATGAGCTTGAGCAGGGGTCCTCAAACTTTTTAAACAGAGGGCCAGGTCACAGTCCCTCAAACTGTCAGAAGGCCGGATTATAATTTGAAAAAAAATGAAGGAATTCCTGTGCACCCTGCACATATCGTATTTGTAGTGCAATAGCCACTTAAAAACAATACAATAATTAAAATGAAGAACAATTTAAACAAATATAAATTTATTAGTATTTCAATGGGAAGTGTGGGCCTGCTTTTGGCTGATGAGATAGGATTGTTGTTGTTCTATGCTTTGAGTCGTTACAGACTCAGGTTGACCCTGAGTGAAGACTCGGTAAATGACCTTGGAGGGCTGCATCTGGCCCCTGGGTCATAGTTTGAGGACCTCTGAGCTTGAGTATAATATAAAGTGAGACACATTGCGCAAAAAGTACTAATTTCACACATTTGCCAATAGTGATTGAGTTTGTGTTGACTGATCAAGGAAGAGATTTTCAAGTAGCAATTTATAGCTTGATAAATATGTGTACTCTTTGTAAGGTTGGCATATCCTAGGACCTAATCTTAAGTCTCCAGTTTTCATGGGCTATATCCAGAGAAGAAATAAGGGTGCAAATTCTCCAGACAGAAAGAAATCTCCACCTCAGCTCTTAAAGCAGCAGCTTGCATAATTTGCAAGAATTAATTGATTTCTTGTTGTAATTTGCACATTTTCAAATCTTTTGTATTTATTTTGCTTACTTCTGCCTCTCCTTTCAGTCATTGTGGTGACAGGACTCATTCTCTGCTCTGCATTCACCTTCTGGATAGAAGCAAGTAGGCTGGAGTAAATGTTCTTTATTATGTCCTCTTAAGTGAGAACAAATAATTTCCTTGTTTTTCATTTATCTATCTAAGTCCTATTGTACAAATTAGGAAAAAATGTGCATTTGTGTGAATGAATGACAAACTGTAATCACTGTGGTTGGTACCTCACATGTAATCCTTAATGAGATCACTAGAGACTGTCTTCAATTTTTTGATTTTGTCTTGGAATCCTCCAGCCTTAGATGACCAGGAACTGGCAACCTTACTTGAATCCTAGCTTGTTGGGTGATGACTTCAAAATCAAATAGAAAGGGGAAAAAAAGTAAAATTCCATATTTGAGATATTTGATCATATATAATTTGGCTATATAGTGCTTGCAATTGCATGTACATTTTTGTCATTGCACTTAAAATGGCTGGAAAAGCAAAAGCAAATTGATGCAGGGAAATGGAAGAGCTTCTCCATAGGCAAGGTTTATAATATTTGGGACTCTGTAGCTTAAAAAGATAATGAGAGGGACATTATAGAGATTTTTTAAAATCATGTTTGTGATTTTTTTTGTCATGTCAGGAGCAAGTCGCTTCTGGTGTGAGAGAATTGGCTGTCTCCAAGGACGTTGCCCAGGGGACGCCTGGATGATTTGATGTTTTTATCATCCTTGTGGGAGGCTTCTCTCATGTCCCTGCATGAGGAGCTGGAGCTGATAGAGGGAGCTCATCCGCCTCTCCCCGGATTCGAACCTGCGACCTGTCGGTCTTCAGTCCTACCGGCATAGGGGTTTAACCCACTGCGCCACCGGGGGAATGATCATTTTAGAACACAGGGGCATTAAATGAAGCCAAATGGCAGGAGATTCAGAACAGAGAAAAGAAAATACATCTTTGTTCACTCCACAGTGAAACTGAAGAAAATTGTCATACGATGTTGTGACAGCAATATAGATTGTTTTTTAAAAATTAGATGGATGATAAAGCTATCCACAGGTACTAGTATATTACTTCAGCATTGAAGGCCCCTGTTTACCACTTTTAGAGAATGTGAAAGAACGTGGAAATCATGTACTGCTTGTGGCCTTCCGAGAAACATCTTTGGAATCGAATGATGGACTGAATAGGTCTTTGATCTGATCCCAGAGAACTCTTCTAACATTGTTAAATGCCCTGTGTCTATTGTTTGGGTTTTCAGATAAAGCTAGAACAAATGCTTAAAACATGATAAACAGAAACCTCCCATTCTTACAATTCATGAGGCAATTTATAAACATGTGATAGACTTATAATATGCCTATCCAGTAGGAAAGGTGCATTTGGCACAGGCATGGCAGAGATGGGGAGGAGATAATTATTTGCAGAAATTGCATTGTTTCTCAGAAAACAAGATAAAATGTAAGAGTTTGGGATCTCTTAATGTTGAGTCAGGTGTGTTTTATATTTATTTTTATTTATAAGAGATGCAAGTTTGGTCTAGCGATGGATGCAGAATGAAGCCTCTGATTTGAGAAGAGATTAGAACACAAGCCAAACCAGCTTTGTCTATGTTGGTTTCCTTGTTTAGCTGTTCTCTGTAGCTTTTAGGTCCACAGAATTAAAGATGTACCAGCTCTTGGGAGAGGGAGTGTCGATTGGGAATATAAATTGGAAAAAGGGAAAAAGGAGAAGGACTGTTCCAAGCACCACTGTTCCAAGCACATACTAACACACACATTGTGGTGGTTGTCTTTAAGCACAAAACAATATGTTGAGAGATCCCATTACATGTTC